TGCTAGGGAGAGGTTTCCATAAAGAATGTTTCGTTCATCTCTCCAACCAATGTGAGATCTCACAATCCACCCCCTTCATAGTCCAGCGTCCTCGCTAACACTCGTTCCCCTCTCCAATCGATGTGAGATCTCACAATTTATATATCCTAAAGGTTCTAATTTATTTGAAAAAAAAAAAAAAAAACCACCTCAAGTCAAATTATCTGGACAGATATGAGTTTTTCACACTCGTTATTATGATAATCTAGGTTGGTTGTATCTGTGCTCATTTCAATAGTTACCAATTAAGCAGTATGAATGTTATTGAAAAGTAACTCTTTGACTGTATGAAACTATATTTGTTCCCGTGGCTGCCTTCTGGCACTTCGAATAACTGATTGAATTAAGGATTAGCAGAAAGTTCTCATACTGGAATAGATAAGATTTCCATCCTATAGAATCCGTTATCTTCCTTTACAGGATTTAAGTTGGTTTGTTGAAGAATTTTCACATTTTTTCCACTGCTTAGATTTTGCTTAAACTGATTGAACAAAGTTATTTAATGGACCTCATCAGGTTCTACCTACCTTTATCTACAGTCTTCTTTGGACATCTTGGGTCATCAAGTACTGAGAAATTTATGGTCATTCATAGCACTAAGTACCCCCCCCTGCACATGAGACTGTAAGAGTGATATTTGAAGGTGTTTGTTTTTTACAAGTTTTTATCCATGTTATGGCAATTCAGGTCTATGATATTCTTAATAAGTATTTGATTTACAATTCATTGTCCAATGTTTCTTTTCTTTACAACTACTGAACCATCACACTGAAAACTTTGTTTAGATTCACATTTGATTATTCTCAGGGTAGATGTTAGAAATCACGACTCTCCACAATGGTATGATATTTTCTACTTTGAGCATAAGCTCCCATGGCTTTGTTTTGGGCTTCCCCAAATGGCCTCTTACCAATGGAGATATATTCATTTACTTATAAACCCACGATCATTCCCTAAATTAGTCGATGTGGGACTTTCTTTCATCATCCAACACCTCCCCTCAAACAAAGTACTCTTCCCCTTAATCGATGCTCGACTCCTTTTATTTTTTGGAGTCCTTTGTTCGACATTTGAGGATTCACCAATCTATTGGCACGACTAAATTTAGGGCATAGCTCTAATACCATGTTAGAAATCACGACTCTCCACAATGATATATGATATTGTCTACTTTGAGCATAAGCTCTCATGGCTTTGTTTTGGGCTTCTCCAAAAGGTCTCATACCAATGGAGATGTATTCCTTTACTTACAAACCCACGATCATTCTCTAAATTAGTCGATGTGAGACTTTCTTTCATCATCCAACCGTTGAATGGTCGTAACTGATTAATGTATTTCATGTTGCCTTTCGCTGCTGCTTTTGTAGTGTTTCAACCAAGGGAGGCAGGCTCTGTGGCACATCATAATGCCTCTTCATCTTTCAAGGTACTTCGATTTATTTTGTATCAGTTTTATTTCTACAGTCTTCTCATTTCGCCATCCTTAGAACAAGTGAAATATTTAATTTTGTGGAGACTTTAGGGATTGAGGATTGGCCATGAACACATATAACTTTGTCATTCCCCCAAAAACAAAATGTTTTGGAGGCATTTTGTATACAATGTACGAGTCCACAGAAATTAGCACTTCCAAGTGAGTAGAGGTATTTAGACCCCTTTATTCATCCCTTTTGTTTTTGAAAATTTCTCATTTTATTATCTAGTTTTGGTTAGAAATCACGACTCTCGTGACTTTGTTTTAGGCTTCCCCTACAAGGTCTGATAGTATTTCTCATTTATAAACTCATGATCTTCCACTAAATTAACTAATGTGAGACTCACTTTCAATAATTCTCAACAATCCTCCCCTCAAACAAAGTACACTATAAGCCTCCTCTGAGGCTTATGGAGCTCTCGAATAGCCTCCCCTTAATCGAAGCTCGACTCCTTTCTCTAGAGCCCTCGAACAAAATACACCCTTTGTTCGACACTTTAGTCACTTTTGATTACACCTTCGAGGCTCACAATTCTTTATTCGATATGTGAGGATTCTATTGACATGACTAAGTTTAGGGCATGACTTTGATATCATGTTAGGAATCACGACTCTCCACAATGGTATGCTATTGTCCACTTTGAGCATAAGTTCTCATGGTTTTGCTTTGGGTTTCTCCCGAAAGGCCCCATACCAATGAAGATAGTATTCCTCCCTTATAAACCCATGATCTTTTCACTAAATTAAAAAATTTGGCTAAGAATTCCGGTGTTTCTTTTATGGAAAATTATAGCGTAAAATTTGAGAGGAAATGAGCCTAAAATTAAAAAACAAAACCGTTAACCAACTAGACCCTAGTTTTTTATTTATGATTTTTTAAAACTGGCCTTATTTTCTTACCATTTTTTACGGTAGTTTTCATCTTTTCTAAGAAAATACTTGAATTTCTTCCCAAATTTCAAAAAAATACTTTTTTTTAATAAGCTAATAACAGTTTTCACCCATTAAAAAATTATTTCAAGTTCAGCCTTTGGGAATAATGCAAATTATATAAACACTTTTCTTATTTCTACGTTCTCTTAATGTCCAAACATTTGAAACTCATTCCAGTATGCAATGGAAGCCGTCAACTCATTCCCAACATTTCTAATCTCGGACTTTCTGTTCCCAAGTTTCTTTGATCCCAGCAGTTACCACCCAACGTAGGAAAGATCCAAATTCTTTATCATTATTTTGAAATGATGATAGATGGGGTAGCAATTAGAAATATCAACAAATTGAGTTGACCAGAACAATACAACTGATATTTGGCTGTTTCTATTCTATTCTACCTAATGCACACACACAAAGCCCCCGACCTCTCTTCCTAATTAAAACACTAGTGAATTTTTTAGTTGCGGAGGAGGACGAAACCTTCTTTATAAAGGTGTGGAAATCTCCATAACAAATGAGAGTGAACCCGAAAGTAAAAATCTAAATATGACAATATCTGCTAGCTTTAGACTTGAGCTATTACAAATAGTATTAGAGTCAGACACTGGAAGATGTGACAATATGGACGCTTGGCTTTGAAGGGAAGCCAGGAAATATGGAGCATACCTGTCTACATCTCTTAAAGTAGGAAAACTCCAAAACACCAACAAATACGAGACGAAGGCTGAAAAAAAAATTAGACGAACGACCCACATTGCACATGCATCCCCCTTTTACTTTATTTATTTATTTTTATATATATATATTTGATTACCACCTCCACCACCAATAATCATTGCACGGAATTAAACTATTTGAAAGACAAAACATTATGCAATAGCACCCTCTTTTCTTTTTCTTTTCTTATCTCATCTCTTGGTTGCATTGTTTGCTCAATTAGTGGTGTGATTCCTTCCCCCTACCTCTTGCCGGCACACCCACTCTCCTACCTTCCATAGCCCCTTTTTAGGGGAGCAAAAATTTACAAACAGATAGGCTTGGAAATCACTCTAGATTTTAGATTAATTGGCTTTAGTTGAATGAATTATTAAGCTAGATTCCAACATTTGATCGACCGATCGTGTTTAGTTTTAGAGTCAGTTTGAAATGACTTTTTAAGTATAAGAAAAAGTCACTTTAAATAGACTCTTAATGCTTCTGCATTTAAAAGTTTTAGTTATGTTTGATATTTAACGATAATATAACATAATTATTTGATCCTTTAAGAATCTAATTCTTTTCGTTTCGATGAAGAATACACTAATTTACATTTTAAAAAGAAAATCCCACTTTTTATGGCTTTAATTCTGCCTAGTGGGATCATTTTTTTCAATGATTAAACCTCTATTATTTATGGGTGATGAAATTTTGTGTTTGAAAACTCCCAGCATTCTATTTTTTTCCCCTCCCTCTGCCTAATCTTGACAGATTATTGAGTGTCACATCACCCAGCACTCTATTTTCATTTAGTTACCTATCTAAACGTGTCTTAAAAGATATGGCATTGGGTATGGAATACCCACTTCTTTTTTTCTTCATATTCTAATTCTTTTGGCTTTTTTTTTTTTAAGAGAAGACTTGGCTTTATGATTCTGTTGTATTTTTCATATTTTGAAAGTTAGTATTTGTATTCGCGAATGATAGAATTATATTAAGCTGAGCAAGTCACGAAAAAGTTTAGTGTTTAAATTCATTATTAATTAGGTTAGAATAGAGTTAATTTGAATATTACATTTTTCTCTTTTACTCAAATTTTTTATCCGATAAACTAATGTAGCAGAAATTAGGGTTTTAACGAGCTGAATTATAATTAAGGGCATTCGTTAAGATTGTGTTAAATAAATTTCAATATTTTCCATTCAAAATAGACGAAGAAAGTGTACATTGAAATAGATAGTAGCATCTGCTTGCCTTGGATAATTTTGAAGCTAGATTATTGATATTCTTTTCAACCCCAGTGTTTGTTGTATTAAATAGATTATTTTGGAACTTATGAATTAGTGATTTTTTTTGGTATAAATAGATTAAATTTCATGTTGTGTTGATTTGTTAGAAAAATTTGGCATATTATTATTATTTTGTAGAAAATAAAAAATTGAGTAATCCATGTGATATTTAAAATTTTTCCAGACCTTCATCGTCGGTTGGATGTAACAAATATAAACTTTTAAATTTGTAATTTAGTGTAAATTTTATTTTATTTTATTTTTTTATAGAAAAAGAAAATAATGTCTAAAGTGGAAGTTTGATGGGTGGGGGATGTGGCAGCGGTGGGGCATGAGGCCACGTTCAAGCCCGGGCGTAGTGGCTGAAAAGTTTTTCACCAGCTCGGGCAGCCACATGGGCCAAACCGCCAAAAGTCAAGTCAAAGTTGTGGGATGGATGTGAAGTGAAAAATAAAAAGAAAAAACAGTGAAATTAAATTTTTTAAAAAGCAAATGCAATTGTGAGTTTTATTTATTATTATTATTATTGGAAGGAAAAATCTTATCTTTTTTAATTCCCTTTATAACCTCTCTTCTCACCGTTCCCGCTTTCTCTCCCCACTTCGGCTCCGTTCCGTTTTCCTCACTTCCTTTCTCTCTCTCTGCCACCGCTCTTCTTTGAAATTCCGATTCATTTCTTCCTTGTCTCGCCGTGAAAGGTATCAATTTTCTCGGATTCTTGCCGTTTTCTATTACTGTTCTATTTGTTTTGCGCTTCATTTTGATTGTTTTCGGTTCATTTACTGCTTACTCTGTTCGGTTTTACGCTGATGGTGTTTGATTTTATTTGATTGATTTTTGCGCCGCTCTTGGTTTTTCTCTGGTTGTTTGTTTATTCTTGTTTTCGTTGATTGGTTGTGTGGAGTTTGTGTTTGATTGATTGCTGTTTTCAATGAAGCGGAATTGAGCTGTTCTCCTTATGTTTTGTATTCTTGAATCGGTGAATTTACGTGTTTGGCTTTTTCGTTTCTCTTCAAGGAGGATTTGATTTGATCTGTGAGGTGAGGAAGGCAGTCCTTGCAGTATTCGGAGAGGAGAATTTGTTGTGGAATCGTTTTGGAAAAAGGTTCTGTTAGTTCCGGCAGTGAGAGTATCTTGAATTTGGATCGGTGTTTGGTTTTTAATGGCGTCGTCAATGATTCTAAATCCTGTGGCGAGTTCTGAGCGATCGCGTGATTCGTCCAGAAAGAAGAAGAAGAAGAAGAAAGTGGCGAGGGAAAATGATCGTCAAGGTCAGGATCACATCCAGTGGAAATCACAAGCTCAGCATCAAGTTTACTCTTCGAAGCTGTTGCGCGCCTTGAGTCAGGTCAGGATCAGTTCTTCCGAGTCGGCACCAAACGAGACTCCGCGCCGCGGCCGAGCTGTGCGGGAGGCGTCTGATACAGTTCTGGCCATGACGGCGAAAGGAAGAAGTAGGTGGAGCAGAGCAATCTTGACGAACCGTCTCAAGCTCAAGTTTCGAAAGCACAACCGGCAGAAGGCTCATGCGACTGGAAACAGCAGAACGAAGAAGCCGAGAGTTAGCGTTTTCCGGTTGAGAGGGAAGGGATTACCAACTTTACAGAGTAAAGCTCGGCTTCTCGGCCGGCTGGTTCCCGGCTGCAGAAAGCAACCGCTGCCGGTGATTCTGGATGAAGTAACCGATTACATACCCGCTCTGGAAATGCAGATCCGAGTCATGAGCGCCATAGTCAACTTGGTTTCAAGCTCTTCTTCTTCTTCTTCTGGTATGGATTCTTCCATCTCCCCACCTTCTACCTGATAAACACACTCTTTTGCACATCATGCCCGCGCACTTTCTCTCAGCTTTCTTGCCAGGTTAAAAAAAAAAAAAAAAAAAAAAAGATTTCTCTCTCTACTCCCTCTCCTCCGCAAGTAATTTCATGTCATACATACATATATATATCATCGATTTCTTGCTATAATTTTACGATTCTAGTTTGTGAATCTTCATAAAAGTAAATTCAGATCATGTTCATGTCGATCTGTTATGTTTAGATTCCTTATGAAGAAGTTCCATTGATCAAATCATGAGTTTATTCTCGTAAGCTCTTTTTCGTTTGCAAAATTAGACTTCCTTCTGCTGCCCCCCCTTTCCATTAACGGCCAAGAGCACAATAATGTTAAATCCATGGATTCTCTAAAATTTCAAATGGAGCACATGGTTAAGAAATTAAAGTGATGGGTAAAGTAATAACCTCCAATTCAAATTTAGAAATTTTTAGCATTTCACATGTAAAAAAGGTATAAAAGGTTGATTGATTATGCTCTTTTTCTTTTCTTTTCTTTTCTTTTACAAACAAGTATTTTAAGATCAAGAAGGCTCATATAATTGGATGAGAGAAGCTGTTGAATCCATTAGTTTTTGTGGCAAAAGGTTCATTTATTCTACTTTAAAAGTGTATGATAAATGACAATGGAAATGGGCAATAATTTCATGTGTTGTGTTTTTTGGATCATTAAGCCCAACAATATGTATTTCATAGATTTTTTTTTTTTTTTTTTTTTTGTCTAAATGTTTTAAAATTCTTTTTAGATTCAAATTTTAAATTACATAATTATATTTAAAAAGATAAAAAAAATTTAATACAAGGTATAACATCGAACCCGTTTTAAACATGAAATATTACAATTCTATTTTCACTGTGTTATTAAATTTTGTTTGCGGATCATCTAACAATCAAATCCTTAATTACTTTTGAAACCTTAGAAATCACACACACGAGTACTGGATGCCAAGAACAAATAGTAAACCAAAGGAAACTATGACAATCGTGGTAAGATGACATACGGACAAGTAAATATTAGTTTCTTACGAGGAAGCTTCACATGGAGTATGTGAAGATATGATAACATATTATATGATAGTTACACGACCTTGTCAAAAGAGTTTGCTCAATAGTAAACGATTGTGCCGACATCATTTTTTAATTATAATCAAAGTCGACGTGAGATGAAAAGTAGTTGTCCGTGACCTCGCTATCGGATGGATTAGGCAGCAAAGCGAAAATAGAGAGCACACGGACGGACGCTTGCCCTTGCCCTTGCCCTTGCCCATGGTAGTCGCTCTCACTATTTGGGAATGGAAACTTGTATAAATACAATAAAAATGGGGCCCTTTTGTGTAATTACACTTCTTTTGGATCCTTTCTTTGTTTAAAATGGTAAAAGTTTTTAATTAACAATTTTAATTTTAATTTTGTTTTAAATATATATATAATGATGAAGCAGCATGTGACATGTCAAGGCACAGGACAACATGTGGGACCCATCTATCTCCAGGCATTTTGCCACGTAAGCAAACTGCCCCCACTTTCCAATTTATAATATTTTTTAAAATATATTTATTTGTGTTTCTTTTTTCTCCATAAGAGTTGCCACCATGTGAGGCCACCCCAATAAAGCCAAAATCCTCCAAGAGCCGACATCTTATTTATTTTTTTTATTTTTATTTACAAAAATATTATTTCCCTAAATTAAAATTAAGGTTAAATTATGTTCATGTTACTGATTTATTATCAATATTTCCATTTTTTTTATTATTTATTGATTTTTTTTCGTATAATATATTTTTGTATGTAAATAGTTATTATTTAATCAATTTGGATAACCAACTCCAAAAGACTAAAAACTAAAATATATGGATTAAAATTTAACGAGTTCAATTTTTTTTTTTTTATCAAAATGATATTTTAAACATATATTTAATGACGTTAAATTGGTGTTATGAACTAAAATTCTATAAAAATTAAAAAAATTATGAGCTAAAATATCGAGTTTAAAAATTTAAAAATCAAAATATTACCGATCTCAAATTTAAAAAATAAAAACCGTAATTTTTCTTATAAATATATAAATTAGATAGTAAAAAATCTTAATAATATTTTAACCTTTTTACTTTATTTAGGGTAAATGAAATATGCTTGTATAGTAAGGTAGGTATAAAGTTTAAGAAACTTCATCCTTTAATTGTTTATCTTTGTGCCTTTATAAGCAATATTGCTTTTTAATCATGAAAAAGTTTGATATAATTTGGTTAATCATTTTTAAATTCAAACGAATTAAAAAGAGTATTCTTTTGATGTATTTGTGAGTTGGAATGGGAAACAAATCATTATCAGGGTATTTAAAACTCTCCCTGATAGACGCGTTTTAAAATCGCGAGGCTAACGATGATACGTAACGGGTTAAAACAGACAATATATGCTAGCGATGACATCAGACTGTTATAGTTTGTATCAAAAACACCGAAAAATGCGTCAACGAGGACGTTGGGTCCCCAAGAAAGTGAATTGTGAGATCTCTCACAAGTTGGAGAGAGAAACAAAACATTATAAGGGTGTGAAAACATTTTCCTTATGTACGTAATTGAGTCTAATTGGTTAGGGTTTTCATGTCAAACTTCATAGTGTATCTCGTAACTCATGAAAATGGGCTTAATTAAACCCGAAGAGCTAAGACATAAATATTCGTTAAAAAATGAAAAGTTTAAAAATTAATTTGATAATATAAAAAAATTAAAAGTAATTTGACACTAGGCACGTATTAAATAAAATAAAATAAAATAAAATTTTCATTAAAAATTTTAATGATTCCATAGATAAATAGTCCAAATAAATAAATACAAAAGGATAATATTAAATAACATGTGGTGAGGAATCTAGGAGTCACCTACTTAAAAATAGCCTAGTCATCATTAATGCAATAAATTATATTATTAAATTTTAAAATAAAAAGACAAATTCTCCACCCACCTAAACTAGTTTGAAGTGGGATTTGGTTTAGTTATTTATTTATTTATTATTTTTAATAAATTAAGTAATTATTTTTCATTTTCTTAAAAAATAAATGGTTTTAGAAGCCATTAGGGTTGAATTTTCTCAATTGTTATTATTATTATTCAAATTTTAATATTTTTTATTTGACCTAAAAAAGTAATCACTAATAAAGTTTTATTTATTTATTTATTTATTTAAAATTTCCCAATTTGTTGTTAACCTTTGGAGACTAAGACCTCTCAACCTCTAAACTTCATTAAATGCAATGAATGTTGGTTTCTACTTTATATTTGAAAATTTTAAATGGATTGTGAAAAAGACCATTTATATAATAATGCTCAAAATTTTGACATGGTCAAGCTGGTGATCGGGTTTCCAATCTAACCTAACACGACCTAACTCTTTATATTTTAGTGGGATTGGATAGGATCAATAGGGTTGGACTGGGTTGTGAACCGTAGATTCGGGTAAGTTAGGTTAACCAAATTTAAAAGTTTCAATTTGTGAATGGAACTAAAATTTTCGTTTCTAAAAAAATTAAATCTCATCCGAATCAGAAAAAGAAAAAAATTAACCCAACCCAACCATTATAGTTTGAGTTCGGTAGTCTAGGTTATTCGAGTCATTGGATCGTATGAACTAACGTGGATAAAGCCCAAAACTCAATTCATTTGGGCCTTCAGTCCAAAACCAGTAATCTTTGTACGGGCAGCCCAAGCCCAGAGTTTTGGTCCATTTAGATATTGGGCCGGATATTGCCATGCCTGTAAACGTAGTTTTACGACGTCGTTTTGCTTTACATCATTTTCAGCAAGCGTGGGGTTGAATTTTATTTTCCTGAAATTAAAGAGCAATTTACTGGATGCTTTGATTTTAATTTTGTGGAGGCTTTGGGGGGCGGGGGTGTTTTTTCCGATCGGAAATGGCTTCAGTGTCGTCTTCTTCTTCTTCTTCTTCTTCCGCCGCCGTCGTCGTCACTGACAGAAGAGGAATTCCGGCAGCTCAGTTTGTGGAGGACGTTCGTACCTATCTCTCTCAATTAGAACTCGATGTTCAATCCGCCCTTGCTTTTCTCCAAGAGCGGTACTCTCTCGTTCTTTTTCGACTTATTCAAATCCGGAAATGGCGGCGTTGTTCGCATCAGGTTGATGCTTTTGAATCTGTGTTTTGCTTAGTCTCACATGTAGTGATTTGCTGGCACGTGTTGATGTGTTTCTGTCACTTTGAAGTCCTTTTCTAAGTTGTAAGCTACAATCAAGATATTGAGGAGTTGATATATGTGTTAATGAACTCGATATTTTTTGTTTATCGCTATCAGTTGTGGTATTGCAGCTTTACTTTTATGGAGCTTTACCTATATCTAGTTGCTGAGAGTGTATTAAGCTTTCTAGAATCTTAGTGAAGTTAGGATTTTGGAGTTTCATTATTATTGATGTTTTACTTTTATGGAGTGTCATTGTTATTGATGTGGTTTGGATTCAAGTTGCGTGATTTAGAGCCCTGTTTTTGAGCTTCTCGATTTCGTATCGTAAGTCTATAATCCTAGAGCTTTACATGGCTTAGTTAGGTCTTAGATTTTTGTTACTGCGCACTTGACGTGAATCTTGGAATTCTCTCTTCGCTTAGAGTGGTATTTAATATTGAAGACGTAAAAAATGCTGGTAGATTTTAGTGAATGAATGCTGTTTTATTCAACTCTTTCCTATGATTTTTAAAAAAATTGGGTCCCTGGGAGAAGATATTCATGTTTATTTCTCTACCCCCATTTTTGTACGGTTTTTCTTTTTGATGATCCTCTGCAAATATTTCATGCAGACTTCAGCAGTACAAGTTAGTTGAGATGAAGCTCCTTGCTCAACAAAGGGACCTACAGGTTTTTATTTATTTTTTTCTTTTTTAGTATTTAGATACTGGCTGTCAGATTTTTCGTGTATATGTTCATATTTTTTTTTTTAAGTTTTCAAATATTGTCGTCACTATTTTTTCATATTGCTAAAGGCTAAATTATAGAAAATACACATGAAATTTGGGTAAGTGCTTCTGAGAAAACGATGGAAGATGTTCCTTACTGGAATGAAATCAAATTGTAGCAACCTCCATTGAAGACAATGAAGAATTGAGATTGAGATTTGAAGTGGTGGTTGAGGATTGGGGAATATGGATTTTAATTCGGGAGTTCTTTTTTATGATAATTGAAAAGGAAATCATTTGGGTGTTTTGATCAGAAATTTTAGTGAAGTTAGGATTTTGCATGGGGGAAGTTGAAAGTGAAAATGAAGAGGTTGGAAGGGAAGAGGGAGAGGGAAGTTTTTGAAACCCACGATTTTGGTTTTTGGAGCCAAATGAATAGAACCCTTAATTTTGAAGCAAACCTTGAAGTTGATCAGTGACATAGGTTGAGGAGTTCCATTTGTTTCATGTTGGCTATATATTGGCCTTAACAACTAAAGCGTTTAAGCCTTCTAGTACTAGTTTCATTTGTTGCATGGAAGAAGAATTTGCAAAGAGAGGGGAAAGAAGAATAATAAACGTTTTTCATTCAGCTACTAATGGTAAGGGTAATTTTGAAAGGTCAAAAGTACTAATGCTAAAGTTCAAGGGTATTATTGAAGTGAAGTTCAAAGTTCAAGGGCATTTTCTCGAATTTAGCCAATTATTGAGTACAATCTGGGTATAAGCTAAACAATTGATGATATTAGATATCAAGATTATTCTGAACAAAGAGAGGATGGAGTTTGAGAAATTACAAGTTCTCTTTTGATCTTTGGCTTATAATTATCCTATAATACAAAGGATAAAATGCTTGCACAAGGCTAAGCTAAGGTACCTGCCTTGTGTGTGTAGCTATTATATGTTTGATTTAATGAAGAAGTTATGTGCCTTTTACTATTTTCTCATAGTTGAAGGCAATATTGAATGTGTAGCTACTTAGTCTTGTGTAATCATAAATATTGCTCGTGGCTCAACTATCATCCTTTTTTGTGACCCTTCCATCCTATTTTTGTCAGGCAAAGATTCCAGACATAAAGAAGTGTTTGGATATAGTTGCTACTTTACAAGCAAAGAAGGATGCAGCCACTGGTGAGGTTCGTCCTTTTGTCTTCAACGGTAGCTTTGGTTATTTACCATCTTAGAGATATGTGGTTATCAAATTGACCAAGTGAATTGCATTATAATATTATCTCATATTGAAATTTATTTTTGATGCAGCAATTTAAAATAATTCTTATGGGTGCTTGCTTTCCTGAACTGAGGTGCTTGCGTCTTATTTTTTTTAAAAAATAATTGCCTGAAAACCATTATATAAATGTTTACACAAACGGACCTAAAAGCCCATATTTCAAACATTCTCTTTAAAGGCCTTCGTTTTTTTAATTTTCCGTAATCCTATTTTCTTACACCTTCAAAAAGAGGTCCTGTTTTTATCTTTCTGTCTTTGCAATCAAATTCCAATCAGTTCCTGCAATTTTGTATGCCTAAAGCCTTGAAAACATTAATTGCCATTTGAACTTCAACTACCAATTTTATACCATTTGGTTTATAGGGATGTGTGGACTCGTAAACAATTTCCTCACGCTCCCATTGCCTATACTACTGTTTCTGCTTTTTCCTCTTATTTATTTATTTTTAAATGAAAAAGCCAACTTTATTTGAGTGCTATTCCCATATGATTGCCTGCTGATAAAAGATGAAAAGAAAGGAATGAAAAAAAAAAAAAAAAAGCTAGTTGCACAAGTTACTTGAATCTATTATACTCTTGATAACTCTTATTGAATTTTATCAATTTGTTCATGCTTTATGTGCATCCTTAAAGATGATAAAATAGAATATCACAGGCTGTAAACATAAGAATCTGCTAGGGCTTACTGGACAATTATTAATTGCTAAAGTAAAAGTATAGGACTATCACTTGCTGTTGTCAAATAGCCTTAGCTAGCTGGTGGCTTTGGTTTTGTTTTTTTTCTCTTGGAGTATAAGCTTCTACTTTTAAAGTTCTGAGCAGCTTCGAGCTATGGGATTTCCCTACTTTTACCAGCTTGAACTAGATTTTTCTTGAGCCATTTGCTTATCTTTAGCTATCATGCACAGCCACTTGTAGCAGATTTTGAGATCTCTGAAGGCATATATTCCCGGGCTCGTATTGAGGAAACTGACTCAGTTTGTCTGTGGCTTGGTGCAAATGTCATGCTGGATTATTCATGTGAAGAGGTTACAGATATTTCTTTAAAAAATTCCCTTCAATTATTTTTTTTCCATTCCTTATCCAATTTTGGAATAAAGTACACTAGTTATGGCTGTCTTCACATTCGCTGGTGTAGGCCACAGCCCTCCTACAGAAGAATCTAGACAATGCTAAAGCAAGCTTAGAAGTTCTTGTTGCCGATCTACAGTTTCTGAGGGACCAGGTGACAATAACTCAGGTAAGCACCCCTTTCTGTTTCGAACTATTTGTTGAGTGAATATTTTCTGCTGAAAAAGTCATAATAACGTGAAACTTCCTTTTAAAAGATAAGGCAACATAACCCATTGTTTAGAAACTCTAAACTAGGCAGGTTTTGAAGTCATTAGCGGACAACTATTCAGCCAAAATAGTTGGAATTTGCTAGAAATGAATGTGAAATAGGAAGACATTCAAATATCTCAGTCTTGTCTGATTTGAATGCCATATTATCTGAAGTGAATTAGCGTTGAGTCATTAAGCGACGTTGTATCAAATCATAGCATTTTGTTGTTGCTAGCCAACCGTACTAAATAATTTTAAGATAAATTTTTCATATCAAGTTCATGGGTTATACTTGCAAGTTCAATCTCCAAACCTTCAATCCGAAAAGGTTTCTAAAGATGAACGGCATGTAATTAGTGTCTAAACTTTTCAATATTGTGTCTCATAGGTCATGGTAGTATGTATATCTATTTAAAACTCACCGTCTTATTAGACCCAAATTCAACTGTATGTCTAATGACCCCTCATGAATATTAAAAAAATCTCAAATATTTAGCCATTCCAAGTATTATTTTATTTATAATATACATAATCTTTTGTTAATTTTTAGGACAATTCAAAATGAACACAATTTTCAAGTGCATGCTATATAGGTCATCATTGAATAAAGAGTGACATGCTAAGTCAATCTCTAGTTTGTTACAATTCTGCTGCTGCACAACATGTAACAGGTGACAATAGCCCGGGTTTACAACTGGGACGTTTATCAGCGCCGAATTCAGCTGGCTTGCGCCAGTGTAGAAGACTCATAAGTTCTCTCACGACCCTCCGAAATTTCATTGTTGGCAAAGAATCCATTTCCTGATTGCCAGTCCCATCCTGACCCATACCTTTTGAATTTAGGCCATTCAAAATTTCCTTTTGTTGTCATTGTCAAAAAAAAAAAAAAAAAAAAAAAAAAAAAAAAAAAAAAAAAAAAAAAAAAAAAAAAAAAAAA